AGAAAAATCGCGAAAATCGTAACCTCGAGATGCTCCCTCAGTTTCTCGCGTTCGCGTCTCCATCTAAGGCAGAAAATCGAGGCGACGTTAACGTCCATTAAAGCCCGTGCGGTTCGCCGATGCGTTACAGCCATCGATGTAGCACGATACCTCGCTAGCGTGATGCATCCATCGGTCGATTTGCATTTTAGTACGGGAACAATGCCGTAATGTGTTTCCGTGGCCGCGTAATTCATCGGCGAGGCCGATGTCGGGGCGAGCGTTAAACCACCGTTAAACACCGCGGCTGCTGTTAGAGCGGCGACCACAGCTGATCGTCCACGTTTCACGATTGTCAGGTGAGCAACAAGGGCCTGAAAATTATACAGACGGTCCATCCGGGCGGCTCGACCAGGTCGGCTGTGAAACACTTAGTGCCAGGACACGCTGTGCTTGCGGCCGTGCAACGAGAGGACGTCGTCGCCGCCACTCTTCTGCTTCCAAATCCGGCCACCAACAATCCCGTCCACGTGCATGCCTACAGGTTACTATACAGATACTTTTTACAAAGTACCAATTACGAATTACGCCGTGGAGTAGAAGATGAGTTCTTAACCTTTTGCATTCCAAATTATTTTTCGATTATTATTTTTTCTTTTTTTTTTTTTTTTTTTTTTGGTAATTTAACTGGCAATTTGAAAACGTCGAGCGTGAGTCGACATAAGATTTCCTGTGATAAAAATTGATGTCGAGTCACACTCGACAAAGAAGTGCAAAAGGTTTCGGTTGAAAGAATGTCACGATGGAATTCTATTTAGCTGAGCTTAGAAGATAAGTAGTTCGCGTAATCACCGGAGTTCACTGATTGAAGTAATATCAGATTAGACTTGATTCGTTTGAACTTGATTGGGGGATAAGTAGCTCACGTAACAAGAGTTAATTAATTGAAAGAACACTGTAATAGAACTCCATTTGCTTGAGTTCATTGGAGGATAAATAATTCACGTAATAGAAGTTCATTAATTCTCTCACCTATGATTGACTAGCTGCGAGTTTTCGTTCACGTAATGGGCACTCATCATGTTCCAGGTAACTGGATTTAATAGCCGGGTGTTCATTGAATCGAGTAGTAATTAAGATTTCGTTTAAATAAATGACTCTCCTATAACTCTTTAATGAGTTTAATAATGAAACGAGCGACATAGGAGCAAAATTTTAGGGATCACTATTGTAGTCATCTCGTTATCGGCGCAGCCGTCTTTGATCTTTGATTTCTATTACCATATAATTATCATCAATTTCTGATTGAATAGAACCGCGAGAAACAACCAGTTCGAACAAGCAATCCGATCGCATTTGTATCAATTAACGGATAATTATCCGGAGAACGGCCACGTTACCAATTCCAGCGTGAGATCGCCCGAAACAACGTTAGCTTCTCGTCTAACCTATTACCATGAAGCGAATTCAGAGATCTCACTAGTCGTACTTCTGACAGCATCAAACAGAAAACTTTCGAAAATAAAATATTCTTTAATACATAACAGTATTGCGTTAGCTTCTCGAAATACCTTCTGACGGGAAACTTTTGGGAACCTGTGAATTCAATATGGCCATTTTGTCCGGTCTCAAGCATTGTAAAATCGTGCAGCTCGTTAATTAACGATCTGCACGATTCTAACGGATCGCTAATAACGTTGGCAAGTCAGTGTTCGCACACGCCAATCTGCATTGGTACACAACCAGGCGAAGAACCTTGGTATTGAAAACCAAGATTGCCGTGCTTTCATCCCGTGAGAAGAGCGGATTTCTTTCTTCTTTTCTTCTCCTCGATCGTGGTACAATGATTTCCTGACACGGATTATACAACGCGGATTATACAACGTCGCCATTGAATTCATGAATCGGCGATTCCGATCGAAACCAGGTAAATGGTTCAATCGGGAACGCGGCTGGCTCGCTGGCCGCGATTTCTTGCCGAGTTCATGGAAAATAATGAAAGGTCGTCGAGATCGCGGAGAATGTCGTTTCAACGGCGGCTGATTAGAAATTAAAAGGCGATCTCTGCTCCGGTATGGGAAATAGGGGAATCAAGTCGAGGAAGTCTTTGATCACAAGGCTCATCCTTCAGTTGCGCCTGGTCTTTGAACTCTTGTGAATTCTTATGAAATTGATGCTTGAAATCTTTAAGTCTTTCTGACTCGATCATCTGACTCGATGTGTCGAGAAATAAAAGAATATTGACTGATTGAAATTCGGGATATCTGTTAAAAACAACGTATAATTTGATTGTTTCATTGTTGTCAACTGACTATCGGTTAAAGTAACAAACGTTGCGAGACAATTTTACAAGTTGTTGCAAGTTGTCCTTAGAAATAGCCGCTTTGATTTTCTCCAAGTATAGATGCGACTCGGTCGAAACAGCTGAGTTATTGGGTGGCCAGTTGAAAGCGCTGGCATCGCACACTGACAATTTGGCGAGGGTGAACTCGCTGGAAGGCAGAGCCCGCAGCAATTTAGGCAGCGACGGTAGAAGCACCAGGGAGTCAGAGTCGTCGGAGGGCAGTGGCGAACTTAGACACGATAGTGTGCAAACCACCACGATATACGAGTCTCTGGCTGCGGAGCTGCGTGCCAAGCTAGGTAAATATTTCTTTGAAAAGCGGCTTCCTCCGTCGTTCGAATTATTTAAATTACCTAAATCTATTGGAAATTGCAACATTCGCATTGAAATTAAAGTTTCATCGTTCGTAAAAATAAATTGTGAGAAAAAATGGCAAACTTCTATCTGAAAGAATCACGAAGCGTAAAGATGCATACGGACAAATATAGAAATGTAAATAGAAGGAAAAGTTCAGACACAAGTTGCGGATAATTTGGTCGAAGCTTGGTGTGAGAGGACAGATGAACACGGAGAGACGCTGGCTCGTTCCTTTTTTAGGCAGAGGCAATTCAGGGGACAATGATGTGGGTCCGATTTTGCTGCCTCCGCGGGATTACGATACGGTGCACCGACACCGGGGCAATCTCGCTGGGATCGAGTTCAGACGCTGCTTGAATCAAACGATCGTAGGAGGCAGTACTACGGTTGACAGAGGTGGCACGAGAAGCGCAGCGAGCAGTGGAATAGGCTCAGATAGCGCTGCTACGCCCCCACCTTATCAGAGTCATCATCCTCTGGGCCCCAGACCCTCCAGACCCTCCAGAGATTCTTCCTCCGGTAAGTCGAATGTACCAGCTTCCACATCTTTCGTCTGCTCCTCCTCAATTTCTATTTTTACATTTTCGTAGAAGTTTCTTCAATCCATTAACTCTTCTTTGAACTTCTGTATTCTTACATCTTAATTCTTGCAGTTTATCCGCAGTGAGAGTTTCTTCCGAGAGTGTCTTTCTTCGTTCTCTGAATTATAATCTAACAAAACTTTTACTTCGTATTGCCTCATCAAGAATTTAATTTATAGACTTTAATGATAGAACTTAATTAATAGATCGATCGGTCAATTATCAAGTGGATAAGAATTCTTCGATCACAGATCACAGATAAAAATTCTTTGATCACAGATGAAGAATATAAAGAGATTTTGTACTAAGTCACGATGATTCACCATAAAATTAGTCGAAATTTCCTTCTTCTTTAACTTGTTATCCCACTATCCTAACGTGAACCAGTTCCACGATTGTGTAAGTCACGTGCACGTGATCGCCCACGAAATTCATTCGGACGTATCGGTGGATTTATTGTCGTGGATTTATCGCGTGGATTCGCCGGAGTGATGTCACGCGAGACGTCGGAATGGATTCCGTAACGAAACGCTATGCGAAAGAGGGGAAAATTACGACGGCACGGAGGCGTTACGTTCGCGTGGTGATTCGATAGTCATGCTGAGCAAGTGTGAAATTTTATCGTGAATGAAAAGCGCGAGTGAATTTGGCGTTCAGAATTCACGTTCTTTCAATTAACCATTTTTTTAGTCGATTGAAATGAAGCTTCCTTTCGACTGAAAACGAATGACGATAAACGAAAATATTCCACTATTCTCTCAATTCTATTTTAGTAAGAAAAAAAAATCTTCGAAATTAGGAACAGACATGTATTTCTTGTTATTTTAAATAAAAATGATGTGAGTTATTCTCTTTGAATTCTCAGTGAATCTTCAATGGAGGAAGCCCGGGAATTCAATATTTTTCTCGACATTCGTCAATATGAAGCTTTCACAGCACGAACAATCAACATTTCTCATTCTTTTGAATAAAGAGATGCAGTGGTAGATTGTGAAGCAAACAGTAATCGAGAATATAAGTGGTAATTGCGCGCGATTGTCGTCTAATTGCCGAGTGGAAAGTAATTGAAGTGTTTTCCTAGGAAATTAGGCGATCCAACTGAACGCGCCATTACGTCCGTTAAACGATCGCGCGAACTCAGTCTGTCGGCTGATGCTGTGTACGAAAGTGAAAGTCCTCTGTTTCTTCTTTCCCTGCTCTTGCACGAGAAACGACTCTTCTCCCTCACGAAAACTGATGGACCGTGACGCGGTTGCGCTTCCGTGATATTAAATCTTTCAGGAAGTTCCTCGTACCTTTGGCTAGTTTTAATTACACACCAGTGTGTCGGAAAATATATGGACGATAGCGATAGGCTTGATTTTAGACATTAAAAGCGACAAGAAAGGTGCAAAAGATCCTGCAAAAAGATCTTTTTCTCTCTCCTATTCACAGTATATTATTCGTGTTCCTTGAGTACAAGCATATAAAGATGATTCTACTTTTGTAGGTATTCTAAATTTGTACAAAATCGTAAATTGTACAATCTATCTGTGGAAAGATTCGCGTCAACGAAGTGACAATATTTAAATTGCATTTATTTGAGGAGAAATGTTCGAAAATACAAGAGCTCTAATATACTGCGAATATTATTTGATTATAAATTTATAGCACATTTGGGACTTGATTAATTTGAGTTTGAACTTTAGTGGGAGATGAAGGCAGTTTCTTCTTGGAACGCGTCTATGGAAAGATTCGCGTCAACGAGGTGACAATTCCAATATTTAAATTGCATTTATTTGAGGAGAAATGTTCGAAAATACAAGAGATCTAATATACTGCGAATATTATTTGATTATAAATTTATAGCATATTTGGGACTTGATTAATTTGAGTTTGAACTTTAGTGGGAGATGAAGGCAGTTTCTTCTTGGAACGCGGCCTCTTCATATAATAATGTTATACAATGATGTTACTCGAGGATCAGAATGTGTTGTTGTACGAGTAGATGGTCATGTGTAAGTAAATAGAGGCGCTGAATCCAAGTGAAAGGAGATGAAATGGAACGAGTGTATGCAGGTATGTTGGATATATGAGGATGACAGTGATGATACTATGTGTGAACTGGTGAGTTGTCGAGGAAGTTGAAGATTGATAATCGAGTTAACTACAACCGAAGGAACCCGAGTGATTGGTTTGAAACCTTTCACAGATAGGTATTTGAATTTACAGTGATATATCATTTACATGTTATGTTACGTTTTAGTATTCTCTAGCACCGTTGCCAAATTATATTCATTGTATCCACATCTGGATAAAATTTTACTATTTGATACTGTTTTTTCTTCTCTTAGCAATATCACAGATTACAGAAATCCAGAATCAAAAGAAGTACGTGAAATAGGCAAAAAATTGCATCTAAACAAAGCAGAGTAGATAGAATCGCATTAATTAATATAGCAGAAAATCAAAAACAAAAGAATGGGCATTCCAATATTTTTATTATTTCTCGAAAAGAAGAAAGGAAAATAATGATGGTGTTCAAATTCGTTGAAATTCAAGGCAAGCAGCGAACTTTCTTCGAAATTTCCAGCGGAATGGGAAGAATGTGGTCAAATTCGGAATAAAAAGAGAAAAAGAAAAAAAAGAAAAAAGGAAAGGAAAAGATTTATGGCGATGATGACAAATATTTGGACGCTTTCTACCGAGCTGAAACAGGTGGCCGTGCGCGTGTGTTCCGTCTCGAATCTTATCGGCGCTCGTAGAAAACCGGGCGGAAGTCGACCTGGTAACCCAATTTCTCGTCGAGTTACGAAAAATCGTTTCTTCGTGCGTTCCTCGTCGCCGTCATCGTTTTCGTTGTCCCTCTTCGATTTTTCTCTCTCCGCGTCGCTGCTCCTCGCGATTGAATGCAAACGTGCCGATCTAACATCACCGATCCCTTACCTGCTTTCACTTCGATCGCTCGGCGACGATTCATTCACCTTTGGAATTTTATCCTGACGAATCGCCAAATGGTCGGTGAAAGTTACGATTTTGGGAATGTTTCTGTGAATTTGCATTATCTCATGTTTTTTTTTCTTTCTTTTCACTTGAACGTTATTCAGTTTCTCATTCAGTTTACAATGTTACAGCGAGGTTATGTGTTATCTTTTATTTTCGTCATACTAATGAAACAGCCAGACTATCTAGTAGCAGAAATTGTTAGTTATCGTGTTAATGTTAGACCTATCAAGCTTTAATTCTTAATTGGTATCTTTAGACCATTGAGAACCGCAATAATTTAGAGTTAAATTGGTGTCCCATAATCTCATCTTAAAATGATCGTACTTGCAAAGTACGCATGAGTAAAAATCTAGAAGAAGAAGGGGAAAAGACAAGAAAAATGAACGAACGACGCAAGAAAGAAAAATCACCGAAACTCGTCTGACCAGATAGCGGTGCAATCTACTTAAGTCCGCGCTATTACCCGGCGGAACGGTGGCTCCAAAAGCGTGGCTCTTGAGAGAGAGAGAGAGAGAGAGAGAGAGAGAGA